CAGCGTCTTCCAACCTTTTTTATCACCGCGGATAATTTTTTCAGCGTTTTGATAATTTTTCCGCGGTACGTTAAGAAATGGGAGAGAATTTGATCGTTTATATTTCAGATAGATTTAATTTAAATAATCTAATTTAATAGCATTTAAACATGTCTTCCTAATAAAATTCAATAAATGCGGCTTTAGGTGAGCTCCCGGTCTACCTGTCGTCTATGGAAAGTCGTACTAAATAGAGTGAAAATAACTACATTAAATAAAATGAAAAAGATTTAGTGTTCCTTGGGAGATTCGCTATCCATCAGCCGGGTTTGGAGACCACTGACTTAAACTACATTTTTAAAAATTTATAATTCCCATAAAATAGCGGGTTTATTAACACGTTGAGTGTCATGGGGGTCACCGGTGACCAGCTAAGTCAAGATTATTAGAAACACATAATTCGAGTCAATTTTTACGTTTTTAATATTATTATCGTTACTAAAATGATTTGAAGAAATGAATGCAATATAGAACACACAAAAATAGTTTTATTTATATACACNTTAATGCAATATAGAACACACAAGAATAGTTTTATTNGAGGGTGTTATTTCTGACAAACCAGGGAGCCCCAGTGATTCGTCTTAGGGTTTTGTGTTCGAAGACTCTGAGTCTCTTTCTTTGTGTATTTGTAAGCGTCCCCCATGCCGGGGATGCATAGCTGAGGATGGGTCTTATGCACATTAGATAAATGTGCCTTTTCGTTATTTATATACACAGAGATGCCAACTTGCTCTGGACAGCGAATAAATATTTTCAAGTGGTAGTTTATTAATTGTGATTCTTGGTTTAATGAATTCAATTTAGTAGATTGTTATCCACCACTATTTCTAAACAATTCGTAAGTTTATATATATCACCTCTTTTTTTTTCCAGATATGCCATGCTAAATCTTTCAAAAACTAGCAAAATCTGTCTAATATTTGCAAATTTAGTTTGAAGTTATTTACAGTGTAAAATTATTGAACTCTTCAACGTGTTAATAATTACGATATAAAAATTTAAAGTCTTAGCGAGGTGTATCTCAGGGCTAAAGAGAATAGAAGGGCTGGTTCACTCCTTTGAAGAAACTCTCGCCGCGCCAATCCTCCGATTTTCTCTAGTGACGTCACTTTGGCGCAAAGCTCGCACTTTTACTTCAAGAACACAGCGTTCGGCCTTACTAGCTCTAACTAATACTGGAGCATTTCCTTTTGCGAGATATTCTAAGACATTTGTCATTATCTATAATGACTTTCCTCAGTTTTTGCAGTGAATTTACAAGAATTTAAAACTATTATCGAAATGCCAGTTTGCGCGATAGCAACTTGCAAAAATTCTGATAGAAAAACAAAAGGAAAAAATATAATTTTCCGCGTGTTCCCTAAAGTAAATGAACAACTATGTAAAGAATGGATTCCGAAATGACACAGTTAATATAAAACAGCAATACGTTTATTCTGTCGTAAAGAACTTTTATAAAAATTCATTATCTAAATAGAAACCGCCTCGTTACTTCATAAAGAAAGGCAGGTGAAAAGAATTAAAAAATAGATAAAGTCAAAGAAAATTAAAATGTAAGTAAAAAGTATAAATAAAATATATAGTATATAGTTGAAATTCTCCTAATTTCATAACATATTTTTTAATGTAGTTATTCTAAATATTTATGATTTTTTTTAAAAATTATATTCTCTTCAATTTAAATATCTATATATTATATCATCGTAAATTTAAATGTCTATAAACAATTGTAAAATTTCTGATGTCATTATGAACCTAAATTATTATTTTGTTTCAGTAATTAGCGTTTAAGGTTGATGTTTCCTAATGATTAAGTATGAACAAATTGCTATTAACGACATATTTTAAAATCAGGGATTCTAAATTTAACTTAACTTATCTTTATAAAAGAATATGTAGATAAAAAAAGTGTCGATATATGCCTTCATTTTTCTTAATAGTTAAAGTTAAAACTGAACTTTTTAAAATAAAGTATTTATCGTGTCATTTTCACCAACTAGCAAAACATTTTTATAAGTTTAAAATGGTATTTTTCTTAATATAATGGCCAAGAAAGTTTTTTTGAACTATGTTTATGAACGGAAATAATGTGTTAATTACGTAAAGTTTGAAAGCTAATAACCAGAAAAAGTCGTAACTTATTTTTACAAAGAGAAAGATGCAAAGTTTTCATAATATCTTTGCTTGCGATCTCCGAGATCTGTGGGCACAGTGACGTCATGAGGAGGAAAATCGTAGCTTCAGCTCTAAGAGCGGAGTAAACTAGCCCTTCTATTCTATTTAGCCCAGGGTGTATCTACTCAAAGATGACAAGGGAATGCAAAAAGTTAAAGCGTGATTTTCAATTAAATTTACAAGTTTCAATAAATCCCTGATCGGTTGTTTCTAAAACCATCAGAATTTTAATTCATAGTTCTTGAGTTCTGCATAGTGGTCGGAAGTAACACAACAAGTAGTGAAACTGCTGTAGTCGCTACTTTTTATCGTAGTTTGTAATGTACTTTGCTACTTAAAAGAAAAGTAGTGTAGTGAATAGTGCGAAACAAAAAAAACCCAGCAGTTTGTGGCGATTCCTGGCTACTACCTTTAACGTTAGTTTGGTAAAGAAACACGGCCCTAATGCAACTAATTTTTTGAATTTGATGGGTACGAATCTTCGCGGGTTCGTCAATGGATACAATGAAAATGACCCTGTGGCTGCAGTTAAGCGTTAACAGAAATTGCGTATTTATCACGTGTACTTTCACATGCGAATGTACACTCGTTGATGTTATTTTGAAGAAAGGAAGCCTATTTTCGATGTTCTTAATTTCTTAGAGGAAATAAAAAAAGATTAAGCAATTACAAAAATTTCAAGGATTTGATAATTTCACATTTCTTAAATCAAATATTGGCTATCGAGAAAGGCATAAGAAGTTAAAAGGTAAATGAACAGATTCGAAAAAAAATTTGGAGTAACAAACAGGCTCATGTAAACGTGAATAAATATTTCTTAATTATTCGCTTGGACTTATTGTAAGCTTATCTCCTTAAAGTATTGAAGTAGTTATTACAAATCCAAAATAGTTTGCAGTCACTACATTAAAAAATTTAGACGTAGTTTTAGTTAACCACATTTGTAACAAAGTAGTTGTAGTTGTAGAAAACTTCAAAAATAATCCAGTTTTTCCGACCACTGGCTACAGTGGTAAATGGAAGTATTTTTAGCATACCATAGGATATCCGATTCTAGTAATAATTTTTTACCTAATGTGTTTTCTTACAAATTTCGCTTTTAAAAAAATGCATTAACTTAGTTTATGTAGCTACAATCATTTAACATTTAGTAGACACATATTTGTTTGCATGAATTTCACTGTTCAAAAAAAAACACAATAATTTAGTTTATGTTGTTATAATCATTTAACATTTAGTCGGGTCATATGTGTTTGTATGAAAAGAAAATTGAACTAGGATTATGAAACAATATTTAAACTTAAGAAAGAATGTGATCGATTAATTTCCTTTCTCTCTTTTTTTCGTAAAATTACTTTTACGTTTTACATACTCAGCTGGAATTATTTTAATAAAATATTTTGACCATTATTTAAGTTTCTAACCCACATCATTATTTATCTTTACTATTTCATTCTAACATTGCGCATAAGCCTGCCAACTCTTTCGGATTTTCCGGAAGATTTTATTTTCATATTTAAAGTGGTAGTAAGAATATACTATTTTTTCTTTTATAAACTTAATTTTTAGATGATTTTGATCACCACTATTCTTACAAAAATTAAAGACATATATTAATGTGCGTTACTATCATGATTGTCAACTTAAGTTTTCTCAAATACAACGTATTTGTTTGTTTAAAATTGGGGTTTTAATTCCATTTTAATACCACTGGAAAAAATGAAAATGGGAAGGATTAAAAGTTGGCAGGTATGAGCATGTAAGAAGTGCGCATAAGCATGTAAGAAGTGATGACGAATAAAAAACAAAACCTTTTAAAGTTTCCAATGGTGGCTAGCATTTTTTTTCCAGTTTATTCTTAAATGCGAAGACAAAGCCAATTTTCGTTTTAAATTTACCTTGCTGTTAATGTAATACATAGTGGTAAATTAAAATAGATAATCAAATAAAATAAATAATTTTAAAAAATGAACTAAATTTTTTCCGCTTTTTTTTCATTTTTAGACGCACGTATCGTCACTGCTTTAGATTCGGTACAATTAATTTTTCTAACACTCATGTTTTGTGAAAAACGTTGTTTTTTCGACAAAATTCCCTCAACTCCACTCTATCAATTTGAGATTTCTTTTTTGCTCCAAAGAAATACTTATTTTCTAAATCAAAAATAAATCAACATAAAAACTATTTCATTTGTCATCATTTTTCTTGAAAAGTTTAAAGTAAAAGGTTAAAGTTAAGACAATTTTTATAATAAATAATATTTTAATAAACGATATTTCCCGACATCCAATCTTTCGTATTAAAGTAATTTTAAAAAAATTATTGTTGTTGTTTTTTTAGTTTAATAAAAAAGCGCAAATGCCTTGGTTTCAAACAACTTTTTTAAAATTATGTAGCATTCTGTTTAATTTTTTAAAGTAATTGCATAATCATATAAATCATAATCACACTATACTATACTAATAAAGATCAACCTCAACTCTCAACTTTTTCTAGTATGGAAAATTTTCAATAAAAAATTGAATTTGTATACACCGTTACAGTAATTCTACCATTCGTATTCAGTTCGTACTTCATTAACAATTATAATTTAAAACACTTCCTTTAAGATACCGAACTACATGGATAAAAACCGTTATTTAATATCGTATCATACATAAATCTCTCAAATTTGTCTAAGAATTCCTATAAAAATTTAGAGGTCACACTCATAATTAGTAGAAAATCCCCAAAGCCTTGTCCAGTGAAAATGAACTCATAAATTCTTACATCTTATTACATAAATATCATTCGTAGAATTTTTAATAGGCATATTCAATTATATATATAGAAGAAATTTTTATGATCATGCACAATTTAGTTCTTAGCTAAACAGAAAGGTTTTTAAAAATGAAGGTAAGTTTCAATTTTAAAATATTTCCTTTTCATATTTTCTTTCTATTTTTTTATATGGTATTGTTAAATGGTTGTTTATGTTTTGAAACAGGAATATTAAAAAATTAATATTAAATATTTAAAGAACGCTGAAAAATATATTTAAATCAAATGACGTAAAAAGTTTATGTTTCCAACTTTTATAAAAATATCAGCTTATACGAATAAATTTTAACAAACTTAAAATAAATCACTCTTTTTTTTTAAAGTAAAATTTTTAAATAATGGTAAAAGTTTATGTTAACCCTTTCTAAAGCCGTGGTAAATATACTCACCACCAATTTTTAAAGTCTATGGTAAACTTTTTTACCACTTTTAATTTAGGTTTCCATTTGTTAATAACTTCAGCTTTCTTAAAGTGTGTTTGAATGAAATTGGCAACCATTTCTTAGTTTAAGAAAACGTATAAAAGTTATAAAGTGCATAATTCCTTTTGAAGATTGTAGCATTTATAAAATTAATTTCATAAATTAAAAAAAAGTCTATAAGTTTCTAATAAGTCGTGTTAAATATACTTACCACCAAATGAGTGGCATTTTTATAAACTAAATTAGAATTTTTTTTTTGATACCAATTACTATTCTTATAAAAATTTCAATTCCAAAAATACTTTAATTTACCTTTACTGGAAATAAATGGCCCATTAAAGGGTTAAATTAACTCACTATTTAAGATGTGAGTAAAAGAATTTGTCCATAATTAGTTAATTAACATATCATTGCAGCATATCTGATGGTGAGGACCCTTTTTAATAAACTTAAAACAAATCACTTTCATAAAAAAAGTTAAACTAGAAAATAATAAAATTTAAATTTTGATTAATTCAATATTCGAATTATAATGTTAGAAATATGCTTATAGTTAATCAGTTCATAAACAGGATTCCGACGGTCTCGAAATTTTTTTAAAGTTGGTAGTAAAAGTGATATTTATCTAGATATTTTAAGCCATCAATAAATATTTAATATATAGAAAATATATATGGGTGAAAAAAGTAACTCAGAAATAATTTCGTTATTCATAAATATAAATGTGAGCATTTTTCAGTAGTCTTGAAAAATCTTAGTTACCACTCATTTATTTTTCCTTGGTAGTGGGAACCCTGAATAAATTATAAGAAAATAAGTTGATTAAAACCATTTTTAGCAAATTACTCTTTCGAAAATAAAAATTTAAGTTGAAAATAGTTACATTTCACTTCAAACTCAATGTTTAGGCTATAGGGGAAAATAGCTCTGTAATAAATTAGAAAGTTCTTTTTTCTTCTAGCTTTCATAGACTAAAAGACTCACTAAAATTTAAAACCACCCTATAGCTGTCAACTTAAATGTCATTTGTTACGTTTTACCAAAGTGGTAGTAAAATAATAATTAGTGTTAGAACAATTGTTTAAAAGTCAAGTTACATTCCGTATAGTGATGCCACAGGTGACTTGAAATGTAAGAAGTGGTAGAAACTTAATTCATTTTTACTTATTAATTATTTCTTTAATTAATCAATCGTAATTTGATTTTGTAATTAATTTCATAGATAACATTTTAAGTTATGGAGGAGATTTGGAACGGATAAAGCATTTCTTTAATTCGTTACAAGGCATCCAGTAGTCCCTCAAAATTATTACAGTGATTTATAAATTTCTTATTTCATGTTTTTAAAAAGTTTACATGAAACAGTCTTAATCACCAAAATGATATGATAACTCAAACACTTAGAAAAAATTATGTTATGAACGGAGTAGTATTTTTTATAATAAGTTCTAATATGGTAATTTTGATAACCGCTGAACGTTCTGTTATCGTAGTTGCTATTTCCAATGCCACAAATCTAAAAGTTTTAAAAATCTAGAAATGGTTAAAAATGCTTAACACATTCACGCCGAGGTGACCCACCGGTGGGTCACTCTAGACTAGATTGTCTCATCGGGCGGCACACCGGAGTAAAAACTGGTAACAAATAAATCTAATTTTTCAGTTTTTTCCGGGAATAATAAAAATCCATAACTACCAATTGTTCTTAACGGATGCAATTTTTATATTGAATTGCTTCTTCGCCGTGATAAATTTCCTTACAGTGAATTGTTATCGTTGAGAATAGATTAACTCCTCCCGAATATTATCTAATATTGAAATAGTTCTACCAGTATTTTCTCTTTTCCGTCCCGCTTTCAGGAGCAACACCCGGCGTGAACATGTTAATTTAAATGTTGTTGTACATAGCTTTAAAGTCAATTCTCAGGCGAGTAAGACATTCGGCGCGCATTTAAAAGTTAAAATGCTCACAAAACTCTGAGTTTCAATCATTCCGCTGATATCATAGAGCGCTCGTCTCCCAATGATATGGACCAGGTTCGAATCCCAGCAATGGCTGGTCAATTCGAATTCCGTACTGACCGCAGTGCTGATGTCCCCTTGTCATCAGGCAAACCGTGGGAGGGTTTCGAGGTTTTCCTCTTCATGTAACGCAAATGCGGGCTAGTTCCATCAAAAAGTCCTCCACGAACGCAAGTTTCTCCCAACATTTGATCCAAGAGTTACCTTGCCTTCTGGATTGGGTTCAAAATTACAAGGTTACGGAGTTGAAATTGGTAATCGTAAACCCTAAATTGTGTAGGCTGTTCAACGACGGTTATAAAATAAAATCAAAACAATCAGAAAATTGTCTGATTTAGATTTAATTAATCATTAACCACTTAAATTAGCCACTTAAAATTAATCATTTTCACCCTTAGATAGAAGATTTTTATATATACATTGGAGTTACTGAATAATTCTGGGGTTTAAGAACGTTATTTGATAAAACAATATACAAAAACAAACAACACAAATGAATTTAATGAAAATTTTCAGATGTGTTTTATATCCTTAAAAGTAACAACAAATTTAATAAGTTCTTAATCTTTTGTATAAGATTTTTGTATTTCTCTACTCCCGAAATATCTAAGTCCCATTTGTAAAGAAATTGAAATTATGATACCTTTTTTAAAAGAAAAAATATATCCTTCGTAATAAACATTTTGAATTTAGCAGTCGATGTGGTAGCTAATAGAAAAACGAGCTCTTCTTTCGTAATAAATGAAATTTTGATTTCCTTTTCACGCTTATAGAAATAAATTAATATAAATAAGTAATTGCTCATTTTTTTCTAGAAATGTCGCAATACAATTACAAATGCTAAATTTGCAACGAAAATATTTTTTTCGAATTTCTAAATCAAACATTCTAGAAAACCCTGACCATGAAAAGTAGGAAATATCATTAAACATTAGAATAATATCCACACAACTTTTCTTATCAATTTTTGTTAAAAAAAATTATAAATAAATAGAAACTAAACTTAAAATCCCTATTTTAACAGGAAATATCCCTATTTTTAGGACATTTACAAAAGTAAATAATGTCCCATGTTGAATACAAAATATTGTTTTCGGAATTATGGCGCAGAAGTACAGAAGAAGAAATATAAATTTCCGTAAATAACTTAAGACGAAATAAAAAGCACGTATTTTTCTTTCAAAAAATAAATTTAATACGCATCTTTACGAAAGTTGCACTATCAGGGTGTTTCTCAAAATCAAAGTTTTAGAAGAATTTCGGTTAACTATAGCTTGCGCAAGCACTTTTTTTCTTTCAATTCAAGTTATTTTTGGTATTTTAATAATCTTTTTGCTTTTTGTTGAAATTTTTGGGTTAAAGGGATAACAAATAATACAGGAAGCAAAGTTAACAATATTTGGAATGTCGTAAAAATATAAATAAGTGGGTAGAATATTAAAAACAATAATAATAACGATTTAATTGTTAATAATTAAAAACAATGTAATATTCGTTTATTTCAAGTTATTTTTGGTATTTAAATAACCTTTTTGGTTTTTGCTGAAAATTTTGTGCCTGAAAGAGATAGAAAGAAGAAAAAAAATTAAAATTTTTTAGAATATCATGAAAAATTTAATGAAGTGGGTAGAATATAAAAAAATAATGATCGATTTAATTGTTAATAATTAAAAATAGTTTAATATTCTTTTTATTCAAACTATTTTTTGAATTATAATAATTTTATGGTTTTTGTTCTTTTTTAGGTTTTAGTTGTTTTTGCTGCTCTCTTAGCCATCGCCTATTCTCAGGTAATTATGTTTACTTAAAAAAAATTACTCTTGGTTTACATAAAAATTTAACGCCAAGTTAACCATATCTCTCTAATATTAATAAACCATAATAATAGCTTTGAAAAATATTTTTACTGAATGAATAAAAAATTTCAGATGGTACTAAAAAGATTATATTACAAAAGATACATTTAAGATACATTAAAATACATTATTAAGATACATTAAAATACATTATTAAGATACATTAAAATTACACTGAGGAATAAATCTCTGGTTGCATTTATACAAATACTCGTTATAATCTATTTCGAGTGCGAAAATTTCAAATATGAAATTAGTTTTGATCTGAAAGCTACAGATAGATGTCAAAATTATATTTTTAGTTTAGTTAATTTTTTCTGTTTATAAAGAACGTATAGGTTTATATACATACATATACACTTGTTTGCTTATGTGAAAATAAAACTTAACAACTCTATGGTCTTAATGCATCAGAACTGAAATTCAGAGATGTCAACTTGCTCCGCTTTGTAAAAAAGTATTTTCTTGCGGCAACGAAATTTAAATCATTTTTAATTTAGTATCTTTAATTCTAAGTCATTTTTCCACTGCTACATATCAAAAACTCGAACTATCACATGAAATACAACTTGGTTGCGTTTATCTCGGGATTACCCTTTTTAAAGTAAGCGTAATTATTTCTATTCCACAATTGCTACTATCTAACTCTCTTTCAATTTATTAAAACTTTTCCAGAAAGCGTAGCAGTTAGCATCCCTGCTGAAATGCTTCCTACCACTCCCTACGTAGCAGAAAAGTGGGAACACTAAGTATTTTTAAAAATCCTGATCCATAGAAACTGCATCTTATAAAGAGAAACCGATTGCATATCTGAAATCAGCGGGGCGAAACTATTTTATGTTTCACGGTGAGAGGGGGTGATTAATTTGACCCCCTCTGTTTATTTATTAATTTTACCCCCTCAGTATTATTTGTATATCAAGGTGGACAAAATCATTTTAAATTTCAATTTACAAACAAAAAATAAATATTAAATATTCATTTTACCACTAATAAAAAATTAAATCCGGCTAAAAATTAAAAGTTAGCACCTATGTACTTTCAACAATATATATTTTTCCGCCGAAATCTTATTTCTCGAAAAATAAATGCAAGATTATTAAATATAAATCTGGTTATGACGCTTTCTCATTCCTATACATTTCATTTAAAACATTACATGTAGTGGTGGCACCAAATGCTTTAAAACACCGACATTTGCTTCATTTTCGCTACAACTTTTAACCCTTTGCCCTCCACTGATACCTATAGCAGAGATGCCATGGGCAACTAAAAATGCATACCTGCCAACTTTCACTCCTTCCTAGAATGGATTTTCAGAGTGGTTGTAAAACAATAAACGAAAAACAGTCTGACTCAAAAATATATTTATATTTTGATCCCGTTGAAATTCGCTTGAGTAAGGATTATTATGCTTTCATATATTTATTGTAATTATTTACATGTAGTGGTGGTCAAACTCATTTATAATTATCATTATAATTCAAAAAGTTAATTGGAATAACCAGTGTATTGCTACCACTTTAAATATGAAAATACAATCTTCAGGAAAATCCGGAAGAGTTGGCAGGTATGAAAATGTAAGAAATGGTAGATACTCTTTTACATTTTCATTTATTTGATCTATTTAATTTTAAAATCAAAACTACCACCATGACTTACACTGCAAATTATTCATATTTAGAGCGTTATTAATATTCTTTTAATAGTAAACCGAAAAAAATATGTTAAAAAATTGCTAATTTTAATATCTTTTAATAGGATTGTCCGCTTTATTAGTCCACACTATTTATATTTTTATCATCTGTCGCATCTATGATATATAGTGACGTCGAATGTATGTGTCAATAAATGCAACTGTACCTCCTTCTCTCTAACGTAACTAGTATGTTTTATTGATAAAAAAAAATTATACTAAAACTAGGCCTCATACAACAAGTTAGATTTAACATTATTTATTTATCGGTACATTTGTTTGGCTTTAAAAATGAAATGCTGACTGGTACACTTTAAAGCTGCTGCTGCTGCTGGTAAAGTAAACTAGAATGACACTAATTATAGTAGTACCGATTGTCAACTCAATCGAGTCCTTCTACTATTTTGAAATTGTAAGCTAAATAAAATTTACGATTTCCAAATTTATTTAGGAGCTGTAAAGAATCTGTCATGCCACTACGTCATGATGACGTCAAGTATAGAGGTAGTTTTTTTTTCTTTTTTGACCGCAAGACGCGTCTGATTAACCTTGGAGATGGCAAGACGTTTATTTTTGTAGGAGTCTGGGACTCCAAGGAATTATTGGTATTTATACTGTGCGGCATCACAGTTGAGAAGACGGATGCGGTTACGAGTATACAGTTGTATTATCTTTTGACCGTTACTTAGTCAATTGCAATGAGTATAACTGACACATAAAATTTAATGCTACTTATGAAACATAAATAAATACAATTCTCTCTTTACAGGGTGATGAAAGTCCAAAGCCATATTCCTTCAGTTACATTGCAACAGGTGACGAAGGCAGCAGCAGTCATTCTGAAACAGCAGATGGATCCGGAACAGTTCGTGGATCTTATTCACTCAGCGACGCAGACGGTCGCAATCGTGTTGTAGAATATGTCGCTGGAATCGATGGCTTTGTTGCTAACATCAGAACAAACGAACCAGGAACAGATAACGCTGCACCCGCTGATGTTACTATTGAATCCACCGCTGATGGAGCCAAGGCTTATGCTGCCGTTGTCAAACCTGAACCCAGACCTCAACGTGTTCGATACGTCCTTGTTCCTGCAACAGATTAATAACGGCAATCTTAGAATAAAGGATCTGAATATTTTCAAGAGCTTTTTATGAAAAAAAATCATTATTTTTAAATGTTTTTGGTTGATTTCGAATTTCTTAAAGAACTATTATATATTTGTGACTAAGTATAAAATAGTTCTTTACAATCTCTTGCCTAGAATCTGGAATTTTTCTGCTTTTCATTTAACAACTATCATTGTTTCTTTGTGATTTTGAATTGTCTTTGGGAATAGGGTGATTAGAAATCTTTGTTTCAATTTTTGAAGCTTTCAAGTTGGAAAAGGTGCATCTTTTTATCCATAAAAATCTTCCATAACATATTTTGTTGTCAAATTTGAGTTCCTGTTTGTGTCTTTGTTACTTTTCGGAATAATAAAATTATATCTATTATTTTACTAGAATTTTGTTGCATCTACATTTAGTAATGAGAAAAAAAACATTTTTACATTTAATGATTTAATAATTTTACCACTTTTCCAAATAATAAAATTATATTTTTTTATTTAAATAATTTGAGTATTGTGAAGGTATATTAATATACATTGCAAACATTTTATCAATCTATTGCACAATTCGAGGAAAGAGTTTTTAAAAAGTATTTTTAAAAAATAAAAATATCTTTAATCATGAAAAACAAATTTAGTAAGCTAGTCATAATTATGAATTATTGTGTTTTGGAAATAAAATTGAAATTACATTACATATTGATATCTATGCTTTTAAAATAATTGCGTAGTATTTTAACAGCCTATTTAGAACACTTAATACGTTGCAATAAATTTGAAAACATAGTGTTTTCTTAAGAGAATCATCTGTTTGGCAACAAAAAAAGTATGCTTTCCATATCTTAACATCCTCTTCCGATTTTTGTTTTATTTTAAAAACTAAATATGAATATCTTTTTCTACAAATAAAGCGGGTGCAATGTCATTCCTATAAGTAAATAGTACGTTACTGCATTGTTGCTGCACTCATTCAATAGCACATGGTTGGTTCATTATTTTTTTTTTATATGGGTTGGGCAAAAATGCAGAAACGCTTCTAATTCAATATAAACAATCCTTCTTTTAACAGAAAATATTTTGGAAGATTTTGACATGGCAAAACTCTGTTATAATTTGAAAGATCACTTGACCCTTATTTGAAATGGTATCATTTTTAACCATGCAAAATCTGGGTCGCGCTAAATGAGCGGAAGCAATTAATAACTTTTTTTTAGCTTCAATACTAGCTATATTTGTCGCCGTTCTCAAGAATTGCGATAATTATGTAAGAAAGCTTTTAATATTATAGTGATATCAAATAAGAAAAAACCTTTTAACTTCCTGCACTCATTTTTATAGATAAAAATTTTGCATAGATAAAAAAAAACGCAATTTCTAAACGCTTCAAGCATGTTCTTTCAAATTGCGCCAACAGTTTTGTCACGTAAAACCTTCCAAAACATTTACTTACTAAAAGAAAGATTTATTTTACATGGAGTTAGTATAGAAGATTTTTCATATTTCTGCCCAAACACTGCATGCATACACAATTTTTAAGAACTCGGAAAAACACAATTTCTTGAGGGAAAAGGCCCAATTCTTTTGTTAATTGTAGACTTATTTAAATGATAAATTCTTCGTCATTTTTAATCTATTGCAGTTTAGCTTTAAAATGAAATAAATAAATTAATAAACCTTCACAGCAATAAAGAAAACTAAAACTGGGTATAAAGAAGTTATAAAATGCATTGAAAAATTCACAATTTAAAGAATCCATATAAAAAAAAAATTCAAATTGCATTTATTTTGCACTTCAATATACCAAAAGAACATTGTTCTTTCGGGGCTGAAAATTAAAATATAAAACTAATCTTATTACTGTCAGTTTCAATTTTAATTTGCTCTAGAAATAGTTATTTATCTTAATATTTTAAAAACAGATATTTAAATTTACATCAATCAGCATTCATCTAACCGGTTTTTTTAGCTTTAAGTAATTAAAATTACTTTTAAGCGATCACTCTCGAGATTTTTCGTGTTTCTTTTTCTAATGATTAATTAATTCTATAATTAAATAATGATTATTTGGTGGATATAATAGTATACTTCCCGTCTTAGCCGGTAATATATGTGTCAATACAAAAATTGTTTTAGTTTGCAAAAATATCCTCAAAACAAATAAAAACAATTCATATTAGGGATATTATAACTGCAACAACTTCATTGAACGTGATTATATACGATATAAAGCAATTTAGGCTGAATTAGAGAGTTCATTTTTACTTGGAAACTTTCTTACGCTTTAGCACTGTGTCATGAGCAGATAACGCATCAAACAACGTAAGAATCTTAAAGCAATTTATATTCCTGAACAATACTTTTTAACTAACTCGTTCTTTTTTTTGAAATTGAAATTGTATAAATTAAACCATAGGTGTAACCTTTACTCATCTTACTCTCTTAACTTTCAGAGTGAAAGTGGTGTAAAGCATTGAAACTAACCACACGTCATTAAACCACTACTCTCACCAGTTACAATACCCCGCAGCATCAGTCTGTGATAAGAAAACTGGTTGAGGTTATTTACGATACCTTGTAAAGGTCAAGCGGTTAAAAGAAAGAGGTTTCGCCCATCTCATAAGAAGTCAATGGGTTAAAATATGTATCCAGCCGTGTCCACACGTTCGTTGAATAGGCGTGTAATACGTGACTAGAACTACGGTAGACTCAGCCATGTTTCGAAACAATTAGTTCCAGACTACAATGTCGATTGAATAAAATGTTATTATTAAACAACTCAATGCTTATAGATGTTTCACACCAGATAATGTGGTGTCGATGTTAAAGAAAATGTAATCGATATAAATTGCGGAAGAAACTTTATCGTGCATAAACCAAAATTTTTATCGCAGCTGAAACAATAAAATTTACAAGTAAACAGATGACAATAAAAAAATTATTTTTTAAACAAAAAACTTTTAAAAGTTAAAATTAATTTTGTCTAGTTTATAATTTTAAAATACTCTCTCGAATGGCCTGGTTTTGGTGTCAGCTTGTAAACGTGCATAAGGAACTATACCTCACCTGTCTAGATAACACTGTCAGGAGCATAAATATGCATGGCGGTTTGCCTCAAGTCAAAGGATTTCACTTATTGCACTCAGGAAATTTATCTCAGAGAAACGAGTCGTTGGTTTTCACAATAATTTTGCATCAATGTAAGCGCCTATATTTTTTATTGTTACGCATACATAAGTGTAATAATAATAAATATGCTTGTGTGCTCGATAAAAAATGCCTATATTTTGATCAGAAATTGGAAGGATGCGATGTATTTAAACAAAAGTTGTAGCCAATATTTCAAAATATCATATTGGACTAAACATAAATTCACTACTACTTTTTATTTTTTTTTAATCAAAATTGCAAATTTTTACCTCTCTACAATATTTAGCATTTTGACAACGGTGGTCTGAAATAGTTTTAAGTAAAAATATTAAACTTTTTTCATACTAGTACTTTCTACTCTAAGATATGTTAATGGTTTTAATATAATTATATTCCTCCCTATAAAAGTCTAAAATTAACTATTTTTACCGGAATTTTCCAGCTAAACAACTGAGATTTCATTCCTTTATATTAGGACGAGGCAAATTTTATACTTTGATATTTGATTTAAAATAGTTTTGATTATCATGAAACATTTCACGCAGACACATAAGAAACTTATGCGCAACTTCTGCTGTTGTTATGCTCTTGGGAAATTGTAATTATTACATTCGCTTAGTGATCATCAGTGATTTATTTCCACTGCAAACGCTATGGAATGTCAGAACTTCCGGGTCGGAAGTTCTGATTTTATAGATTTTTAAGGTAAAATTTCTTAAATAAATGAGTAAAACTGAAAGCTGTAGTACATTTAAAACGGAAAAGTGTACTATAAAAGTATTAATTACTATTTAAAAGAAAATTATTTACTTACAACAGGCAAACAGTGAAAAGTATAAGCAGAAATCTGTAACTGGGTGTCACACAGGCTATTTAAAGCCCTTTAAAAATTCATTATAAAGATATGAGAAGCAGAATGGTCGAAAAACAAAGATGTCTACTGTAGATGTAACTGTTATTAAGATGATTGTTAACTTGTTTAATATTGCTTCGCTTGTATTTAAAACCGCAACTGTGGAATTATCAGGTCTTATATATTTATTTAAATTGTTGATATGTATATAAATGTTCAAAATCGTTAATAATCAAAGTTATAATATGAAAAATACATTTTAAAACATAAATTTTTTACTGTTTTAAATGTTGATGAAAACATTTTCCACCAAAAGCGGGAGACGTTCGCAAGTATGATGAAAAGTGAGGTTAAGTAAATGAAGATAACTCATAAACATTTCAAGATCCATGTACTCGGAAATAAAACTTCAAGATCCATGTAGTAATTAAAAATATTTAGAATATGTGATGAGCTACAATATTCTATATTCAAGAAATATTTAAATTACGTTACATACGTCAAATAGTGAAGAATTTTCACTGTTTGATTGTTTTCTTAAGTTTTTATTTGTAATGGTAGTCATAAATATATCGATTCTCTATCTGAAGTTGAAAAATGATAAAGCAATTTTTATAACATTTTTAATTTGAAAAAGCAATGTCTTAAACTATCAGGACAGCTATCAGGCTATACTAAAGTGACGTCCACTGCATCATTCAAAGGTCGTTAATAGTTCACAACGAAAATAATTCTAACTACCCCATTTTCTCTGCTGAAGATTTTATAAAGAGAAAATAAGCTCAACCATAAAAACAAGTAGAAATTTGGCTTATTTCTCCAGTAAAAAGAAACACAATTTAAGTGAAAAAAATGGCATTTTATATGAACTTATGAATTGAGATGTGAATAATGGTCAAAATAACTGTAATTTAACTTTCTAAACCAAATACCATACAATCATGCCCTCCAACTTGAGAGGCTCTTGCTAAAAAAAATTTCCATTCGCAGTGAACGATAACTAAAATTTTTTAAACAAATTAAATATTCTTGAAATTTCAAAGAGACTTTTACCAAAACATAGGAGCATGATCTTCACACAATCTGACTTTTTATATATATGTTTATATTTCTAATAGTATTGGTGGACAAAGTCCTTTTTAATTCTAATTTATCTAAATTCTGATCCATCTCTTTTGTAACTATTCGAAAAAATTTTTAATTGCATAAATAATTGCATTCCTACATGGCCCTATATCACCCCTTCATATTAACTCATAATATTCAAAATTGGCCAAGTACTATATTACAAGGTACTATAGTAGCATAGCAAAGAAAATTATTTCAGGCTAATTAGGCGGCCCACAATGCGGCACTATATGTAATTACGCACATACATATTTATAATGGCGTGTTA